GTATATATATACTGTATATTGCAGGTAGAAATGAAGACTGATTTGTGGGGTAAAATAAATCTGTCACAGAAAAGACAAGAAAGGCAGAAGAAGGGAGCAGATGGGCAAACATAAAAAAACAGATGTGCCAGTTAGGATATTTCCCCTTTACATCGTAACATAAATCAGTGTTTAATGCTCTCCTGTTAAAAAAAAAAAAAAACAAAGCAAAAAAATAGAATTGCTTTTCTGTAGAAACTTTGTTTGGACAAACATTAATTTCTCTCTAAATTAAAGTCACTGAAAACATTTCACATGACTTCCAGTTGCCAGGACACAAAATATAAACAGAGTGATGAGTGCACAGCTGTGGATCATTTTGCTTTGGTGGAAAATCAGACTGGATGTTTTCATTTAAAACATGAAAAAATGGAATTATTTCTTAAAGTGTATCTAAAGGGCACTTGGGGTGAATAAAATTTAGATTTAAAAAACTTGGTAAATTAAATATAGTGATATTTTAGTGCAGAACCAGTAGCATGCCATTGGGAAATTACATTATAGTTTTTAAGAGTGTCGAGTTCTGCATCTCTAAACAAAACTAAAATATATGCTGACTTCTAAAGTTTAAAAGGTTGGTATTTTCCAGGCACATGGCTCAATGTTATATCATAATCAAGTAGCTATATTACCTTAAGTTTCTATGAAAATACTGTATATATCAAAAACAAATTTGACTTTGCAAAAAACACCTTGAAATTGGCCTCTGTCTCTTAAAGAATCTCCTACCGTTTCTGACTCTCCCACTTCAGCATATCATCAGAACAATGCTTCGGGGGAGAGGTGCTGTGGGGCGGGAGCTCGGCTGCAGACCGAGTGTCATGGGAGGAGCTTTGTACAAATGGGCGGTGCTTTGCACCAGCAAACGTTTCGGCAGCACCACATGGCTGCAGGAGATCCAAGGATTATTCAAACATACATGGTTAGGGATTGAAGGAATGACATTATAACGTGATATACAACTAAAAAAATGTTGATTTTACATAATACCCCCCTGAAAGGGATCAAAAGCTCTTACCAGTACTCTAGTTTTTATTTGATTAACCTTTAAAATGTAAAATATCTTGATCCACATTAGTGGAGAAAGTTCTGTCGTTTGAGGATGTAATGATGTTCTGTTCAGGAACTCTGTTTTCAGCACTCAACCACTTTCTAGTCTTGTAGCAACTCATCAGACTTAGGATTCATGGTAGTGCCTGAGAATTCCTTCTGCCAAGTAAATCAACTTTAAAAAGAAAAGAAAAAAGATTAGAGTGAACCTAGTGTAGGTTTTCCTGAGGCAGATAGATTTACAAGCTGTTCAGGGACTTTAGGTTCACCTTTACTTCTGTTTTTTTACTGCTTGATTCCCTGCTTGATTTTTCTTCATTTTAATGCATTATCATTTGGATTATAATTATTTTTATGTGGAATTTATTTATTTTTTTTGCATTGGCAGCATTTTTAACAAACACTGTAAAAGCTTTTAGTAAATAGACACTTTACTTGATAACATTTGATCAAACTTTGTTTTTAATTCTCTATTCAGTTCAAACTTACTGAAAATCATTAAAATATTTAAATTCAGTTTCAGATAAAAAATAATCCGATAAGAAAAACTTTGTGCACAAAACAGAGACAGCCCGGGACAGAGAGCCAGCAGGACAGCAAGACTCAGCAGCGGTTTTGTCCTCATGAAGGTTTTTGTTTTCTTTGTTAGGATGTGATGCGACGGCCGCAGCACTCGGAGATGTTATCTGTGTAGCCTGTAGGGAACTCTCTCCTGCTTTGGTCCACTAGGTCTGTTTATCAGAAAACCTAGACGTTTCTGCTCCGATGCCTTTGTGGTTCAGCATGCTAAGCACACAGAATGGATGTCTTTCAATTCACCAACTCCCGCTGCAGGGAAAGTGGAATTTATGTCTCGGCATTTATCAGGGGTGGTTAGCTTTTATAGCGCCTCAGGTTATGGTTCCAAGGTTGGTTTTAGCCGTTACTGCGCTGAAATTGCTGCCTGAGTTAATATGAAGTGGAGAGAAGTGCTGTAAAACAAAGCAAGGTTCGGTGAAATGGCCTTGCATGGAGACAAGAGCTTCCCTGTGACAGTAAAAATCAGAAGGTTTAACTTGTTGGATTTTTGTCTGCAACAATGCAACAATAAGGCAAAACGTTTGATCATATTAACTAAAACTAGCAACATTTTGCAGTATTTTTGACATCCCTGGTACGGAGAAACCAGAAAGCATTAAAAATGATCAAAATAGTAAATTTTTATACTCAGTCATTGGAAAGTCTGGATGCGTGTAAAGGAGAAAACGAGTGTAAGTACATCAAACAACTGCCGCAACCTTTGCAAACATGCCACCCTACAACACACATTTTTCAAAAAGCATCACACACACCGCTCTGCTGGCAGACTCTCTGGGCAGATACTGGGCCTTTGATGGCCCACTGGGCTCATCCAGGCTGTTCGGTCAAAGTTTGTGTGTGTGTGTGTGTGTGTGTGTGTGTGTGTGTGTGTGTGTGTGTTCTGTGTGCATGTGGTTAAATCCACCTTGGCCACAGTTTGGTGCTCCATCTCTCCAGTGTGACAGCACTGAAAAGAGCTTCTGTTTTGGGGCCAGCCTCATCCCACATTAATCAACAGCACTGGGAGGGCGAGCAGGAGGGATTCAGGGGCATGGAAGGGGAGTGAAGGGGTGGAAGGGGGCAGAAAGTGGGGAGAAAACAGGGGGCAGAGCGGGCAACGGACTTAACCAGTAGTGTCACATATTTTGAGTTCTGACACTTTCCCTGTTAGGTTATCTTTCTATTTTTACCTCTCTCTCTGGGATATATTTTTTTAATTTTGCTGTCTTTATTAGCTTCTACACACTTTGACCACAGAAGCTTGTAAAAATCTCTGTCAGACACCTTGGCAGCATGGCACAGCACCCAACTCTTTTCCTCCCCTCCTCTTCATCCCTCCTGCCTCTCCTCTCTCCTCCCTTCTGCCAGCTTTGATACCTCTCTCTCCCTCCATCGCTGCCACCACTTCTCCATCTCTCCCTCCCTTGCTTTCTCCCACTGTCACTCTCTTGCTGTGTTGTAATAATAAACACCCCATCCAGCTGGGTTGATATATGAATGGAGTCAGTTTCATCGCCTGTTGCCGGGTGAAGCTGGGGGTGGGTGGGGGAATCGGCGGGGAGTCTTGAAGGCTCTGACTCCCAGGTGATGATCCTGTTTGTACTCGAACGGTTCTGCCTTTGAAACGATTTGTGCAGGCAGGAGTATCTGAAGTATTGTTACTGTGTGGGTGGCTGTGGATGTAGTTTACTTGACTGTTTTTTTTTGTTTTGTTTTTGCTGCTGCTACTCCAGAAGCTGTTTGATTATGAGGGAAAAAAAATCATTGATTTATAATAGTTACATCAGAAAGGACAGTTATTTTTGCTTTTATCATGTTCAGTGTTTAAAATCCCACTTACAAAACATCAAAAAGAGTTGAAACCGAGTTGAGAAATCAAAACCAATTTAAAACGTAACTGATAATGTCACATTTTCACCGTTAATGTTGTAAGAGGCAAAATCAGTTATTGTAAAAAAATATATAAATATGTAACACTTGTTGAGACTGTTAAGGTTTAATTGGCTCAGTTTATACCACAGATGGCAATAGTTGATCACAGATAGTTACACGTCTTCATTATTGTTATTTGTGGGTCTGAAGCTAAAAAACAAAAGGGTCCCACTGAGGTAAAGCAGCAGATTGTTGTTCAAGCAGCTGCAAAGACATCAATTTTCAAGGCCGTTGAAAAAGGTGATCATGGAAAGCTTTCATCCTTTCCAGGACTCAGATGGAGGCTACAGAGAAAAGAGCTGTGACTATCAATCACCCTGGGAGATGTAGTCCAATTTTTTTTTTTTTTTTGTTTTCACAACCCTCTTCTGAACCAGGTGTGAACTTCTGCATTCGACTTTATGAATGGAGAGTGGCTGCAGGTGAAAATGAGGATTGCACAGTAGAACATGTGCCAGAAGTCAACCCAGCTGCAAACTATAAGACMGCTTCTGAACATTTACCAGCAGGGTTACGCCACTGGTGTCTGTCCCCAAAACCAGGTCAAAACTAGCTCTTTTTTTTTCTTGAACGCGCTGAATTACTGCTGAAACCTGCAATAAATGTTCTGCATTCATAAGATATTTGAGCTTATTATAATCAACCGCATGTAAATCTGGTTCAATTTACCCTGAACATAAAAAGAACTTGTTGAATGAGCATAAAAAAAAAAACTATGACAGGAATTTCCACACAATTATATCTTTTTTGGCATTAGGCTTTTCTGTTGAATAATGCCAAAAAAAAAAGCTATAGTTCAGTTGGGTCAGCATGAACTTTAAGAGTTGATTCAACTCTTTCAGAGTCTGATTTAGTTGTCAAACTAATTTTGTTTGGCCAACATTTCCTTTTCCTATGTCTCAGTTTTGTTAAATAAATGGGAACATTTTTAAAATCAAGAGACAATCTGGCAAACCCTAAGTTTGTTTTGCAAAAGCTTATGTGAATTAATTCAACTGACTGAGTTGAATTGAAACCCAAGGTGTTTAATTCTCATTAAACCAACAATTGTGTTCAGTAACAAAAAAAGCACACGGTAACAATAAAGTCTGTAGGAGGGGTTCCAAAGTTTCCAACACATGGAATCAGAACATCACAAGGAATTCTGACCCAATTATAACATTCCTAATGGGCATGTTTTGGCTCYACGTTGGTGTTTGTCTAATAATTAGGATATAGCCCATGGAAAGCACAAATGAGCCGATGTAGTAATTAATTCATTCAGATACAACGTACCTCAAGCTAAAGTTACTGTACGTTCAATCTGCCAGGATACAGTAGACCCCCATAGTTGTGTGTGTGTGTGTGTGTGTGTGTGTGTGTGTGTGTGTGTGTGTGTTTAGGCAGTCCTGACAACATCCAACAACATATTTCCCCTTTCTTTGTTTTAAATTATGTCTCTACAAAGCCAAGCCCTCTCTTTCTTTGTCAGATCTAGTGAGGTTGACAGGATAATAATGTTAGTCTGGTAAACAATGAAAAAAAAAAAAGAAAAAAATTCCATCAGCCGGTTTAAACATAAAATTTTCTTGTGTTTGTAAATGTTGTGGTGGCGCGTGGCAGATTTAAGCCTTTCTGTCAGCTCGTTTCAAAATATTGAACATTGCTTTTGACAAGGCTAATACCATGGAAGGGACCGCGAGACTGTTGTTCCTCCGCACATGCCAGCTCGACAGGAGGCAGGAGCCTGACGCGGCTCTGCGGCAAGGCTGGGAGTGTCCTCCACTGTTCAAACGGCAGGAACAGATTAGTGACAGGCGGCCAGGCCCAGCAGACAGAGGTCACTGTCTTGGTGAAAACAACAGAGGCGGAGGAAGGGGGTGGTGGGGTGAGAGATACGAGAGCTGGGATGGAGAGGGAGGGGCTGCTTGTGTTAGGTAGATTACACAGAAGCTGCTGACGTTTGATGCGGGTTCCCCGTGTCATTTTACACAGCGATCAATCTGCACTCTGTAAAATAACAAAACACGTCCATCCCTGTATCAGTAAATATTTATTTTTTTATAATGTCCAAAGTAACGGACTGAACAAAAAGTCAAGCTACGCACTGTTGCTGGTGGTTCTGTTTGTTGTAAAAGGTCACTCCTAATTTTCTCTGCCAAATCAGCCTCAACTATTTCTCTAGTGAGTTTTTCCACCAGCACTGTGTGTGTGTGTGTGTGTGTGTGTGTGTGTGTGTGTGTGGTGAGA